TTAGTGACGCAAAGACAACTGTCCACACTTCTCTCTTCCACTGGAAAATAGCAGAAGGCCCCAACACTTCCTGGAACAAGATACAAATGTTATTACAGTGTGGCCCTTTGAGGCCTTCTGCTGCCCTTCAGTTCAGAGAGGAGGTTCTCACAGCAGCAAGGATGCCAACTCCAAAAACACTCTAAGGCAAAGCTATATTGCACTTGTAATTACATTTCTATCTCACTCTACAGAAAAGCTGTCTGCTGCTGGAGGAGATATTTCCTTGTTGCAAAAGTAGTTGTTCCTGCTCATTCGAGTGATTTGTTGATTATTGTGCCAACAGTAGCATCATAAGTACAACGTGCAGAGATAGGAAATCACCCTCCCAGGGCACAGCTCTGCCACTCCTGATGGCACTCCTGCAGGACTCTGTCCTTGACTCCCTCAGCAAATGTCTCAGTGACATTTCCAACCTGCTGCTGAGACAGATTTAAGATGTGCTCTGTGATGCTTGCATGCTGGGGGCCAAAGAAGAGTATCCGCTTAATGATACCCGTTCAGGGAATGTCAGCAAATACATCCCACAGGCAAGCACCAGGCAGAAAGAGGGCCTTCAAATGTCCAGAGACATCTGGGATGATGGGGAAGGAGGGGAGCTCCAGGAAAGGGGAAGTTTTGATTCCAGAAGGCTTCCTGACATCCCTGGGAGGTGGTGTGTAACAGCCACAACTGCTGGTGATTTTGACAGTCTGGGCAGCAGGACAGATTGGCAGTGGTGTGCAATGAAGTTCTGCATGGGACTCCAGAGCGGGCTGGATGTGGTGCTTGATCTCTTCTCTGTACCATCTCCCCTCTTGGGCAGATTGAAACTTCTTTCTCCAGCTCAGTGTTAGGCAACGTGCCAAAGAGCACTGGGAAGGGGAAAGAGGATGATAAGGAGAAAGGTAAGAGACCCTGCTGCAATGAAGAGTCAAGAATAAATAGCTGGGGAACTCAAGCAGCAATCTTTAGTGGCCTTTAACTTCTGTGGAATTTGAAATTTATTGCCATTTGTGTGTTTTTTTCAAAAATCTCCTCTTGGCAAATTCAAGAGGGTGTGAAGGTCTTCATAACGCAGAGTGGGCTGGCAAGGGTGCTTTGATTCATAAAAGCATTGAAAACTTGGTAAGATCTGACTTTTACCCCATTCTTATAGCAACCTTCCTAAACCCATGAGAATTCCTTTCTCTGCAGCACCAGGGGCCAGTGGTAGATGTGTTCTCCTGCCCTTGCCTTAGTACTGATTAATTGACCTATGCTTTGAGCTAAATAATTTCTGTGAAGAACTGAAAAAATTGCAAGAGCAGTTGAAGAAGTGGCACTGCTCCTGCCAGTGTCAGCTGATCCCCGTGCGGAGCGGAGGTGGCATTCGTGTTTTGCAAATGGGCCCGAGCTGCAGCTCTTCTCACTGCTAAGCTTCTTTCGAAACTTTCTGCAACAGCTTTTTTACACCCACCCACGCAGGGAATGACACGCTCCCAGGGCTGCACGGGGAACTTAGCAACATTCTCCTGCTAGAAAGACACACAGGTAGCAACAGCAGCCAGATCCGAGGCACTTCTCAGTGCCTGCACCTCCTCTCCTCCCCACCTGCCACTCCACAACTGCAAGAACACTTTCATGCCTTGTCAGGGGTCTTGCTTCAAACAACACAATCACCCCTTTGCATCCATCATCTCAGAGTGCAAGCTAAGGGGCAAAGCAAGATCTCAGGCCATGCAGCAGGGCCAAGGATGGCTTTGGGTCCCCCCAGCCTCAGACTCGAGCCTGGGTGACCTGCTCTTCCTGTGGTTGGTATTCCACCATAAATGAGTGGAAATGAAGTTCTCAAGAGCAAAAACACTTGGTGACAAGGCACAACTGCAGCTGGGAGAGGATAGAGATGCAGTAAAGCACCAGCCTAACCTGTACTGAGGTTTGTCCCTGTCCTTAGAGTGCAGTGGCATAGAGAGGCTTTCTCAAGTTCCTCCCATAAACACAGAGGTGAGGACATCCTCCCACAGCAGACAAAGAGAGAGAAAGGATCAATGCACACCAACTCTTTTGAGAGGTCTGGACAAATTTGGCGCAAAAAACCCATAGAATTCCCCATTGCAGACCCTTCTGAGAGACAGCGGGAGTGAGATATCCTTGTGGGATAACAAAAAAAATTGCAAGAAGTTTGAGGAAGAGGATGGGAAGGCAGACTTTGCATTTATGGTAGATATTACTGACCTCAGTGGGACAGACCTGAGGTGGCCCAAGGACAGAACACCTCCAGACAAGTTTGCTTCTGTGGTTCCCTTCTATGAAACAAGATCCAGTGCTCACGCTACTTTGTAAGTACTGAAGTAAGGATTGACTAGAGTATTCTCATGACAGATATCTTGCTATGAATCCTTGGAAATCTCATCTCTAATGCTGCCAGGCTTGGAGGAGAGACCACTCTTTGGGATCCAAAAAGACTGAAGATCACTGCTTGCTCCATTAGCAGTACTGCTGTTCCTCATCAAGTCTGAGGCTGGAAAAATGAGCTTGCATAACATCAAAGAACGGACTCTTGAAGGGACAGTAAGTTTTCATCAGTGGGAAGCACCCCAGGAAGTGTAAAAAGGCTGGGAAAGTGCACTAAGCTATTTCCTCTAAACAGCCTTCTAGTCTTCAAGGAAGGTTGCCATGGAAAAAGAACAATTGAAAGAGCTCAGATCCCCTTTGTTTGTTTTGTTACTTTGTTCATTCCTTTGTGCAGTGAAGATCCCAGCAGAACCATCAGGCTGGCTGACATAGTCAGTGACAGATCTTATATATTAATAAACAGATCTGCCTTCTGTAGTTTGGAGCAACCTTCCAGAGAGGGGTGCTCTGAAAGCAGCTGTTTGCTTGCATAGTCTGGTTGAAGAGGATGTCAAAACGATGTGCAGGATCCAGAATTGGCACAAGAGGGTGATGAAAATAGCTGTGACTGCTGGCAGAGCACAGATTAAAAGTGCTCGGGTTCTAAGTGGATAAGTTTCAATGGAGGAAATAGCTGTCAGCTGACATAGACACAGAGCCCCAGCATCCCAGGAATACTGAACCCGGGGGGAATTTTTCACAACCCTTTCTTCACCAGTAAACTTGCAAGGCAGAACCTGACCTTTACGGAAACAACCAGCAGGGTCTGGCTGGGAAATTTTTCTCCATGTGTTTTCTGTTTGTTTGCCTGTATTATGACATTTGAGAGAATGGGACTCCCTGTGAAAATTTTCTTGGGGAAACGTAAAACTGTTCTGTGAAAAGGGAAATATTTTTGTTCCAATTCTCTGCTATGGCTCAAAGGCAGCTCCACCAGGATGCTCCATGGCCAGGAAGCTCCAGGATGCTCCTGCAGGGACTCCTACCACCACCAAAGAATACAAATAAAAACCAGGGTTGCAATTCTGCATGTTCTGTTTAAGTTCTTTTTTTCTGCAGGGAAGGGAAATAAAAGGAAACATTCTGCTTTTGGACCAGCTGTCAACCCCTTTTGATGGGGTTGACAGGCTCTTAGAATGAATTTGTAACTATTCTTAGATAAATGTAACTATATTAAAAATATACCTATTTTTAGATATTCACTTTAGATTTACTGAGTATTAAGAAACACCTGAAAGTCTTCTTCTGCTGATGGACACTACTGATTATTTTCAGAGTGTAGAGGAGTTAACAAAATAAACCAGAAAATAACTAAATATTAGTCTAAAAATATGCTGACTTCATCTCTGCAATCCTAAAAAGCAGTAGGGTCACCATCTAGGAAACTCACCAAAATATTTTAAACATGACATCAGACCAAGTGAACACAAACACAGGACAAATTGTTCTGACAGAGATCGCATGTGACTTCACCAGCTGAAGGACACAAAAGTTGCATGAAGAAGTGAGAAATCATACAAAATGGACATTATACCTGAAAGCAAAGGAAGCATGCAATGTTTCAAGGATATAAAGAATAATTCATAAGGAACCAGCCAGGAGTCTTGATCTGTCCCATTACTCAGAAACAAAGTATAGCCCTTAAGTAGAAAATTAAATCCTAGAGCATTAAATGCACCCATTTATGGGAAATGGAGACCTCTTATCTCATAATGCAGGTTTTCCAGAGCTGCAAAGTGATTTCTAATAATCAGTCCCACCTCTCTCCCATTTCTTCATAAAAAAGCATAGAAATGTCAGAGCTGGAATTTGATCCCAAGGAAGATTTTTGAAGTCTGGAAAGATCTCTTAGCTTGAAAAATTAGAGTTTGGTTGTTTGGTTGTTTTTTTTTTTTTTTCTCCTGTTGAAGGAGAAATTAGTGGTGGGAGAAAAGAGGCTCCAGGTATTTGCTGCCAACACTTTTCTACTCTTTGAAAAAATGTGCTACCTTTCAAAGTCAGGCCTACTCACCTGCCTCTGTGCCTTTGAAAGAATGTTGGCATTACATTTTCTAATAAAGTTGGCTAGGAGACACAGACAGGACAGTACTCACCAACCCCAAGTCTGTAAATAAGATCATTGGGAAAAGACTGCAAATGCACTAGATATCAAAGTAGCCAGTAAACTAATTTAAGAAGGAGATTGATTGCTGCTGTGTGAAGTTAAAAATTACTATGCTTTTTTTCCCCCACTGAAATTAGTCACAGAGAAGAGGCATGTTAATAAATCAGTTCTGGTGCGTAGCAAACAAGCATAAGGAAAAGTAATTAAAAGCTTGTAGAGATCTTCATCTGTGTCTATAAATGCTGCAAAGCCATTCCTGACTGCTCATCTAAACCTTTTGCCCATCTCTGCCCAGGTGAAGTGATACTGCATTTCACCTTTTTTAGCTCTAGAAAGGTTTTTCTGAAATCAAATCCATCTCACTGGACTGAGAGTGTTTTAGTCATCCTGAAGAGTGTGTGGAGAAGAACAGAAATACTTCCTGCCTTTCCCATACTTGGAGAGCATAGAGCATTCCTGATTTTGTCCTTGTTCAGCTCTTCTCCAGACTTTTTGCCTGCTCTGCTCTGCAGCATTGAGGAGCCTTAGCTGGCCTTCAGACATTGAATTTAATGATCCTGGTAACTGTGCCACACAATAGAAATGCAGGCAAAAGAAAGAAGGAAGAGTTGGCACAGGCAGAGATGTATTGTGCTGAATTTTACATCAGGACCAGAAGGGTTTTTATTATATGATTTTCTTCTTTACAGCTCCCAGCAGAGCAGCAAGTGCACAGATAGGCTGTAAACCCATACAGTGCAGGCTGCATAAATCACAAATATAAAGCCATGTAATATTCCCTCCTGGTGATCCAGCCCCATCAACCCATCAACCCCCCAGTCAAAACCAGGGGGGCCCATTATTGCTTTTGGTGGCATGTCTCTGACATGCAGAGATAAGAGAAGAATCAAGAGGGGCACAGCTAGTGGAAGGGACCAAGGGTACTGGGGATTCCCAAAACAAGACCAATATATCCCAAATATAAGGAGACTTACTCAAGAAATTTTATGAGGCCATGACAAAACGGATTTAAGACCTCAAGACCTTTATTCCTAGCTGGGATTTTGCGCCAGAAATGAGATCCCTGCCCCTCATTGTACAAAAATGCCCCTTCCACATACATCCTGACACTCAAGGAAGCAGATGCAATGGCTGTGAAAGATGCTATTTGAAGATGTTTCACTAGGGGAAAAAAAACCCAACTGTTTTGTGAACTAATGAGCAGCCCTGGCAGCTGAAATGATCAGTTGGACATAATTTCATGTCAAGAGACATTTGCCTCCTGACAGCCATATTAACAGAATCCAACTGGGTGTTAATATGGTTATCCTTTTCGGGTACGTGTAGAGATATTTCCACAGGCAGACAGGCTGCAGGCTAATGATCCTTCCTTGCTGGGGCTCAGAGGCAGGGTGCTCTCCCAGAGATCCCTGTCACAGACAGCTAATCAGGGAAGTCAGGCATCCAAGTGGAGAGGGAGCAGCAGAATCCCAGTCCCTTGTGCTCCAGAGGAAAGGATTAGCCCATGCCCACAAGCTGCTGAGGACCCAGTGACAGTGTTCCTGGGAGCTGAGCAGGCACATGCCATGGGAGATGGATTGGGTTTTCACGTGGTGCCCTGAGGATAATGATTTCCTGTGGGTTCTCACCATGTTAGAGAACACAGGCACCATAAAATAAGTTGAAAAAGTAGCTGTCCAGCAGTGTAGGTGATGGTGTTTGCTCATGAAGAGCTACACTGCCAGCTCTGACAGAGCTGCTCTAGGACAGCCAGAGCACACAGGGTTTTCAGTCAGCAGCCACAGCAGAGACATCACAACAGCAGTAATGAAAGTGCAAGGAGAGGCAGAGAGGAAGGCTGGCTTGTGTGTGACTGAAGATCCTGAGAAATCACTGGTGCGTGTCCCTCAGCTTTTTACTGAGCTCTTTCAGGATTGGAGGATGCCAGGTTGTGTAAAAGCACGGGATAACAGACCCTTTCTCTTCCACCAGCATTTGTTCTAAGGCCTGCCTTTCATGCTCTGAATTCCCAGCAGATCACCTTTATTTCCAGCAGATGTCTTTTTACCCTCCAATCTGATCCCCAGTCACAGATGTCACCCATCAGGGATGCTCTAGGGCTTTATTGTTCACAGTGACTCATGAAAGCCATTAGCTTTGAAAAGTAGCCCACTAAATGTAAAAGGAAATCAGCAAAACAACACATGACAAAGCAGCTGTGAGAAGTGATGTAAGCCTTACTTAGTGCTACATGGCATTGCATTCATTCACATCGACTTCATGGGCTCTGCTTTCACACCCGGGTGATGTACAAATATGAGTAAAGAATATTTTAGTGTTCCCTGCTCTTTAAGAGGACGCTGTGTCTGTCTCTAATGTAGTTTCCCTGTTTACCATTCTGAATAAGAACACGGTTGTGACAGACAGATGGACAAGATGAACTTAAAAGTCCTTGCCATGTACAGTGTATATGATTTCATGAGTCATTTCAGTCAGAAAGAGAGGTAATGAAACATTCAAATGGAGCTAAGAAGACATGACGTCATGGTTCTCTTTTCTCTCTTTGAAATTAGTAGTAAATTAAATTAACCTTAGCTATTTATCATTAACAAAACCTTTAATTTGCTTTCTACTAAATACATGTCCCCTCTGTCTTAAATCAATTCACAAGAGAAAAGTGAGATGCTTTCTCCTGCGTATGCAAAGAAGAACAACGCGGTCTTTGAGCCACTTATAGAACTTCCATCATTAAAAACAAATCAGCAATAGCTCCACCACATCTACATCCAAACACCAACTAAAATACTTAACTGCAGCTTTTAGCAGCAGTCCTTGTTCTGGCTGCTTAACTGAGCATCCTTTCCATCTGGGTTGGTTGAAATGGTCTGGTGAGATTCCCTGGGCACAGCTGTTTATCCCTTTCAGAGCGCTGCTGTCTCTGGCTTGTTTCTTTTTCCCGGGAGAAGTCAGGATTTTCTGTGGGACATCGTAACTCACAGTGACACAGTTTTATAGTATTCACCAAAGGTGCCTTGAGCTGATTAAAGGGCTCCCTATGATTTGGGAGGGTTACACCGACAAGGTTCAAGCCCCCTCCCTGCAGGTCTCTCCTTTTCCCACTTTTGATTTTTCTCCTCTCTTTTCTCCTAAAACAGACTCCATGATTCTGCTATGCATGTGGTGGAAAAGAGAAATAGAATGTCACCTTGCGAGAGTTCACAAATTGTGGTATTTCTATATTTTACCATTCATCCTTGGGTTGCAAATTGCTAGGAAGAATGATCTTACTTGACACAATTAGAATCACAATATCTGAAGCTTTGGAACAAGGTTGATTGAGGAAAAATTGCTCAGATTTTGACAGAACAAAGTCAGATATGGTAAAAATAATAGACAATGCCCTTGGGATTTAAATATGGATTTTGACAGTGGGGGATACTGAATGTGCTGAGGGAAACAAGAAATTTGTGCTCTCAACTAGAGAGCACACGAGAGAGAGCCACTGAATGTTACAGGACAAAGTGGTCTGCACCACATTTAACAAAGTGAATCTTTCAAATACATGTGACATCCTGAGGACACATCAGGAAAAGCTCAGGTGGTTCTCAGGTCAGTCAAACTAAGACTGGGTGAACACACTGAATCTTTAGCACAGATAATTTGGACAGTCTTGGGACCAGCACTTTGACAAGACCCGTGAGGTCACAGAAGTTATTGCTTTACAACAACTTCTGTGTAAACCAGGGCTCCTAATTAATTGCTTAATTAGTTACAGCCTGTAGAAACCTGTTCAGAACAATGCCATCTGTGCAACAAGGTCAAGGAATGAGGACGCTTTTGGAACAATGACTGAGTGTGGCATCTTGAATTAAATTCAGAAATTTCAGGCTGGGACAGTTCTATTTAAATTAGTTCAAGGTCCCACATGTCTCTGGAGCAAATCCCACTTCCTCTGGATTATCACACCTGTGAGGATTTGGAGTGTGCTCTCTGCCATTATCAGCCCAAGGACCACTGCCAGCTTTTGCAGCACGTCCTTGTCAGAGCAAAGGGAAATACTGGGAGAAGCTACTTGCTTTGGATCTGTGGAAAATGAATTCTCCACAATTCCTTCTACAGATTCCCCATCAGATGAATGAGTCACAGAAGGTCCAAATGCAAGCCAGACAAGGCTCTCTGAACAGAACTGGGAAGAAAAATTCCCTTTCTTGCTCCCACCACTACATTTCTACCCCTCTTGGTAGAGGCAGTAGTAGTGAGTAAAGATCCCTCATGGTGATACACCTCATAATTCTGGGATAGACAGACACATCCACTGGCCACCATTGGGAATGGGAATTCCAGGTAATGTTTGGTTAAAATTGCACCCTTTCTCCTGAACTTCATGATGATAGCAGGATGAAGAATGGGGTCATGCAGAGGCTGCCAAGCCCATCTTTCCCAGAGGATGCTGCAAGACCTCTTCTTTTGCCCCTACTCTTGCCCATTCTCTTGGAGGAAGCTGAGTCCTCCTGCAAACACATTTGGACTGGCAGGAGGACCCCTGACCCTTCCACGCCACTTGGAAATAATGCAAGAAATGGCAATAATGTAATATGTGGATATGCCATTGATAACTTCTTGTTCATCACAGCCCATAATGAGTGTATTTAACACCAAACTGGCTGGGGGACATGAAAAAGCTGACTTTTTTTCACCCCAAGCAGATAAAATTACAGACTGGTTTTATTACCAAGAGTAACAATTTTATTGCCAACATGACAAAAATGTCTTGATAGGTATATTTGAATGTTTTAGATGCAAACTGTACAGATGCAGGTAGATCCTAGTCCATTTCTTTTTAGCTGGTTCTTGTAGATTTTCCCAAAATAAATATATTAAAAACTTGATCTCTTTCCTACTGCTAGGAAATCAGCCAATTCAATGAAGAATTACCATTGTCTGGGAAGCATCTTTGGTTGCTTAGCTCACTAGATTCAAATCTTCAGAGAGATACTCTGCAGCCTGTTTGAAAGAGATGTGTAGATTGAAATCAGAAGTGATCAATTTCCTTTGCTGTGCATTCAAACAAAGCAGTAATTCAGAAGTCCTCACCAAAAGAGATGCTGAGAGATAGCAAGCTGTATATTCAAGATTAGAATATAGCCCTGAGTCTCTGGTACATGATGTTAATCTTTGATAAGAATATTAAAAACTCTGTGTATGTTGCAGACTTGATAAAATATTAACCTTAAGCCTCGAAAACATCCCCATCCATTTACTGCTGCATACATTGAACTTCAAGTGAGAGGGGCCTCCTTTCACTGGTCTTGCTTTTTAAAGGGTGCTGCCACAGCACGAGATGAAAGAAAGGTCTCTTCTATAAACAGCACCCAATGAACTGCTCCAGGTGAACATGCTGCTCTCCATGCCACAGCAGACTTCAAAGCAGAACATTCTCCACCTTGTGTGTGAAGATCTTCAGCACATCACAAAGCATCCAAAACCTTTTGGCCTTCCTTGACAATGGAAATAGACATTGGGATGGCCAGAAGGAAGGGACCATGTTCCATTCCCAGACCTGCAAAAAGGTCTCTTCTTTTTTTTTTCTCATGCCTCTTTCAGTGGGGCAGACATTGGGAGGTGCAAAATACTGTGCCCTGTTTCTGCCCTCTGACTGTGAACATGCTCCTTCTGTTTTCTCTCCTGAAATATAATTCTTCCTGGAAAATCTACCTTTGCAGATGGAAAAAAAAAAAAAAAAATGAAGTATTTAGTGGAGATAAGTGAGGATTACTTAAAAGAAAAAAAAAAAGAAAAAAAAAAAAAGAAAAACTAAAACCCCACTGCCTAAGACTAAAAAGTTCTTTAAACTTAGTCAGAATTGCCTGTCACAGAGGCTGAGCCCCTGATCAGCTCCTGTGGAATATTTATTGCCCTATTCTTCAGATGACTCCATCAGAGAGGTCTCTGAGTGAATCTGTGAATACTACCAGCACTTCCAGCTTAGTGGTAGCTGTGGACTGAAATAACCCTCACATTCTCATAAAACTGTGACATAACAAGTCAATTGCAAAGCAACAAAAAGTAACAGCAGGATGAAGAGGGTGCCTTCCTGGCATCAGAATATTTTATGCCCTTGTAGTATGACTATATTGACAAGTCTCTGGAGTTGAATCTGGCTTAGCAAAATGTGTGAGGCATAAATAAAGAAAAATTCATGTACAATACTTGCTATTGTGCAGGATGCTCTTGAAAATAAAAAAAAAAGGTCCCTCATCTCCTCAAATACTCCAAGTTGGTCTCTCTCCTATCTCAAAACTTCCTTGTAATTAAACACCTGCATAATGAATTAAACTCTCCAGGGAATGTTATTTGCCAGCTACTTTTTCAATTATTTAAAATTAGCTTAAGGGCTAAAGCAATCAGGTCATTCATTAATTTAATTCCTTTTTGTAGCTGTACTTCGTGACTTGGAAATAAAACTACAAGATAAAAAGGACAAAGAGGAATGAAAAGGAAATTATACAAGACACTCATAAAGTTCCCTGGCCCATGACCTCACCCAGGATGCAGAGTCTCTGCTGGTACACAGCACACTCTAAATGGCCATTTTCCTGTGCAGACAAACACTTCTCTGGAGACATCTTCCCAAAGGGAAAAGTTGGCAGGAGCAGCGTCCATGCACACGCAGAGCACTGGCTGGCAGCCAGCTCCCACTTGGAAAGATGAGGATTGGAGATGCTGGTAATTCATCAGCCCCACTTCAGAGCAGCTATCTTTGTCTGCAGAGCTGCCTGGGGGAAGAGGGGAAGAGATCCTCTTTTACCCAATCCAGGATGAAGCTTTCCCCTCTTCTCCCAAAGGACCAGAAGTTGCAAACTTCTTGAATGTATTAAACCACACCACAAGCTTTTTGCAGAGGCAAAGGATGTCACCCAAATACCCCTAACCAGGGGCCAGGGTCATCTATTTCTGAGCAGCTTTTCCAAGCACAGGAAAGCCAGCACTCTCTGATGGTGACATGTGCACCTGGCTGCTTCAGCAGGCAGCTTCTCCCTGTGTCGTGGCTGGGTACAGAAGCCTTGCTATTTTATTCCCCTCTGCCTGGCAAATCTGTTACCTGCCTGATGGGAGCAAGGGGGGGGAGTGTGGGCCAGCAGCCAGCTGTGACCTTCTTCAAGAAGTCCATGGCCAGGTGACCTCCCAGGAACAGGGCTCTCACGTGAGCACAGTGGCCACACCATCAGCATTGTGCCATCTCAGCAAGACAGCAGCACAGAGCTCCTCTAGGACAACTTCTGCCACAAAAGGCCTTTGCAGCCCCTTGTGAGGAGGAGCTCTTTTTAATTTTCACTCATTCCTAGCACAACTGGGTTCAATTGTTTTACACATCACCTTTTGCAGCAGAAAAACTACAACAGTTCAGAAGGGTAAAAGGGCACCTGGGTGTGCTGACCAGCCTGTACTCAGATGCACAGAGCTGGACAAAAAACTCGGGTATTTGCTTTCTGAGTGAGCAGCACAGAGAGCTCAAACCTTTGTGTGACAGTCAGCAGAGACTGGGCTGGGCAGCCCCAGAGTACACCCACTGCCCTTCACCCAATCTGTGTGACTCAAAGCAACAGCCCTGCTTAAGCAAAAGAATTGTGTGACTTGGTATCTGGTCCAAGACAGCAAAACAAAGTCCTTTTATGTCCATTAAAGCTCATCAACTTTAGACAGTTCTTTTGTCCAAGCATTACTTGGACCAAGAAATAATGCGGTGTTGAAAAATCTCTTGAAAATGCAAAAGTCTCCTGTCTGCTTTGCTAGCATTGCTTCAGCTATGCTGACCTGCAAGTATAGATCTTGGCATGTCACTGCCAAGTAAAGAAAAGCACCACATTTTTTGTTCTTCTTTTGCCTTTTCTTCTTTGATATAAGAGGTTGCTGCATCCCCTGCACATGCTGCTGGCTGTGTGTCAAGCTCTTTATAACAGACCATATTCATTTTTTTATGGAGTAAAGTGGGACAGATAAGAAAAAAAGCAGGGTGGATGGATAAGAGCAGGGCATCACCAGCCAGTCTGGTGGAGTGTGGCACATTATACTGCTGTTCTGTCTCATTGTTCTCCCTGTTGATACGGGGACTACAAGACACCTTTCTATGGAATAAACAGCAGATAGCAGCTGGATGTTATTTCTCTGTCCACTTCTTTTGAAGTTGGATGTCAAAACCTTATGTCAGAAAAGCAAGGACAGTGAAATCCATACATGTATGCTGAGCACTGAAACTCGGAAAAAATCTAGAATTCATATTATTTTCTACCTTCCAGTGGGAACATGAACATTCTTTCCTTCTCCCCAGTGACTACTGAAATATGTCAGAAATATTTTTCTGACGCCCCTGTCTCTGAAAACTGGATGAAAAGTAACCAAATACTTCAGAAGTTACCACGAAGGAAGACAAGCTACTCTTTTCTTCTGGTCACGTATGCCTTGTTTCCGTGTGAAAACTGTAGAAAATCCTTTACCCAGCAAGACAATGCGAGCAAATAATTCCAAAGCTTTGCATCCCTGCGTGCCCCTGCGAGGGAGGTAATTACAGCAGGGAAGTGATTGCTCCCTTGTGCTCCCAGAGCAGTCTGCTGCCTGGCAGGGCTCACCTGCTGCTGGTGAGGAGGGAGGTTGTGGAGGCTGTTTGAGAACCTAAGCACGTGGAGAAGTGTCAGAGGGATTATTTTCCAGGTGTGTGTCCAGGTCAGTGACACAGGTCCACAGGGGGCTCACGGGAGCGGGGTGGAGGTGCTGTGCACGCTCTTGTTTCTGCCTGTAAGGGAGCAGGCACGAAGTGAAGCTCGTTCATAGCATCAAAGGCTCAGCTCTCTCATAATGAATTTCTGTTTACAGTAGGGAGGGAGATGTGTGGCATGGTATTGCTCTCTTTCCTAAATATAAAAGCAGGGAGAAAAAGAGGATTCATGCAAGACCTTTCAGGTTTGTTACCACCACCCCCCAGCCCAAGCAGAAAGCCTGACAGCCCCCGAGAAATCATCTGACAAGTTCAATGGTAAACTTGACAAGACAAAAAAGATATATTTTTAAAGTTCTTTCTTTGATTTATGAGGCTTCACACTTGCCTACAATCTACAATGCTAAAAATATCTTTGGAAATAAAAACTGAGGAACCTGCAAGACTCCAGAGGGTGGAGATTTATGAAAAAATAAACATAATGAGGTGGGTTTTTGATCACACAGTCTTTGTGGGGAAGAATTTTGGTGAAAGACATAATTTCCTTTCCTCTTTCCAAAAGTTTCCTTGCAAAATGCACAAAAACTCCTTTGATTGAGCCCTTCAACTGTTGACTAATGAGAGAATCCAAAAAATGGCAAGCTTAAAAACTCACATGCTCCATTCTGGAGAAGCAAATGTGAGAGAAGACAGGACACAGGGTCCCATCCTGAGAGTGGAACTGAGAGAACAGGACTGGGCAGCTACAGGAAGTGGGGGCAAGACTCTTCTGGGAAGGAAAACCCAAATAAAACCAGAAGGAAATATCTGAAAAAGTGGACAGCACGGTGATGACCTCAAAGCTCTGTGTTTTAATGAGGTAAGATGAAAAGCAGCAAGGTCCAGCTTTGCTTGGGGTAAGATCACCAGGTGACATCCTACTTGGAAAACTGGATATCCCAATGGGAAAAAAAAAACATACTGAGTTGTCATAAAGTGCATTTCTGAATCCACTGCTCCTCTCTGCTGGCTCACCTGTGGATGCACATCTTTATTTCCACCACAGAGGCACACCCTGCACAGCTGCACCCCTTGATACAGAGGCTCTGCAAGAAGCCCCAAGTCAGCAGCACGTTGGCAAGAGCCTTGGTGGAGACAGTAAGTGCCATACAGAGCAGAAACATCACCTGCAGGAAAAACTTGGCTTTCATGGAGCACAAACCCCCCCAAAATTCAATCATTCTATTGGTAAGGAGCACCTCTGCTGTCTTACAGCATCCAACCCTGTGTGATTGTTTTGCAGCATGGCACAGGCTTATGCGTCATAAATGTGCTGGCAGGTGATGCAGGAATAAACAGAGCACCTATGCCTTTGGAATGAGCTGTACTGCAGATACATCTTCTGCAAACAAAGGCATCATCTTCAAATGCATCCCACACCAGAGCAGATAAGATTTGAAAAACAAAATTCACTGCCAGTGCTGTATACTGCATCAAAGAATCCATCCCCCTTCTCTGAATTTCCTGCATGTTATGATTTATTCCCAGATGGCCTTTTTGGTACAACTGTTCAGGAAACTTTGGAAAACACAAAATTTTCAAGAGCTCAAGCAACTGCAAAAAAAGAGGCTTGATCATGAGTAGCAGGAGTTGATTTTTAGCTATACCTCTGGGTTTTGATAAAGAAGGGGGAATGTTAAACTATTCTTTTGAATTAACAAGTGATCTCAAATGTTATGAAGGAGTTTCAATTGAATGACCTATATAAACAGAAACCACATATATGATTTATGTGTCCATTTATGAGTTGACATCACTGTCAATATTAGTTTAGCAAGGTGTGGGATTTCGATGGTTTGTACAACTATCTCAGCAAGTTCTCAGCCACAGGAGGTTTGGGCTTAACATTGGTTTCATTTTTCCCCCAGAAAATGCCAGTTTGTTGGATGTGGGGTTTTGCAGAAGAATCACTTTTTCCATGTTTTCTCAGGGCTGTGATGGACCTGCTGAATGGGAAGGCAGGGAGAGAAAGGAGCTCCCTGGGAGATTGAGGAGAGGACAGGGAGATGTGTCTCTGCTGGACTGGAACAAGCTGGACCATTTTTCTACAAGAGATTTGAAAACTGAGTTTAGGCAGCCACATTCAACTATTCTTCATCATTGTACTAAACAAAAAAACATTCCTGTTTTCATTTTCAAATGCCTAAATCCTTCAGCATAGTACCAACGTTTTCCCCTGTATTCATGCTTTTTCCACCCTCAGTATTCTCCCATGGAAGACAGAAATCCCTACAGACTCCTGCTGGCCCCTGGGATCCATTCATAGCTGGATGCCCTGGCCTTTGCACACTGGTTCTCAGCACATTTATCTTCTCAGCCATATTGTTTTTTATTATTAATTACACTGTGGGGGTTTTGTATTTATTGGACCATACTGTGCTTTCTTTGCTCAGATAAAACTATCTCACAAACAACCAAAACTCTCACAAACAATCAGGACTTGTTATTTTCCACAGGAAAAACACTAATTGTCTCGGAAGCTTCCCAATGCAAAGACAGAGTGCTTGTTTGAAGTTAAAAAAAAATATAGTTCTCTGTTTCTTTTGGTTTTTTTTTTTATCTTGAAGAGTAGGATTCTTCAGATCTGAAGAGCCTGTTCTTGTTTGACAAATCAGCAGGGCTGGTAGATGTTTAGCACAGGAAGATTAGAAAGACAGCTGAGAGGGTGAATGTGAAGGGTGCCGTGGAGCAGAGGCTGTAGTTTGCAATAGGCACTAGAGAGAAATATAATCAAATGTTTCCTCGCAGTCACTGATGAGGCTGCCAGTGTGACGCCTTCTCTGTCACCTCACATTATCTGCCATGCTGGGAAACTCAGTAATTATATTGCAGACACTTATAAAGACATACTTGTCGAAACAAATGATGGGCATGAGGTGATTGCAAGTTAAGCAATGTTAAGACTGCCTCGTGAAGAAAACAAACCAAAACACAGTCACTTCTTTGGTAAAAAAGATATTTGCATATTAAAATTTGAAAGGAAGAACTGTCTGAGCATTTTTTTTTTTCATGGGAAAGGAAATGGTTTCTGGAAAGCAAATTCACATCTGCAGAACAGAAATTATTTTTCTACTCCTGGAAGGATATTCTAGATAATCAGCTTGGGACAAGTAGATCTGTTTTTCCCAATGGGAAAGCCAAGCGTTTGAGCTATCAAGGGTGTTTTCTCTTCAAAAGCTGTGTCCACAGAAGATTCGTAGCTGAACATCCTACCTGACACGGAACCTGACCATTGCCAACTAAAAGCTAAAATAATTTGTAGACACCTCCCTCAGCAAAGTATCTCAAAAGGCAGCCATGACTACCACAGAGACATATCGAGGTGGGGAAGATGCCATCCCCTTGAGCTGCCTTCCATTGCCCTCAAGAACATCTGGCATTCTCGAGGCAGGAGATGTTTTAACATTACCTCATGGGACAGGTAAAAGGCAGCAATTCCCAGTGGCCAGAAGCAACAGAGCATGGAGAACACAGTGAGGCCAAGATGATCCCTTGGTGGCATCATCAGGAAGTTGTCTTCACTCTCGGTGTCGCTCGAGTAATCGCTCTGGAACAGCAAAAGAGAGAAATGAAGATGTGCTGGTTAATGCCATTATTGCTTGTCCTCTGCCATCAGCCAATTCCCTGATCATTTGCCCATTTCTCCTACTCCACCACAAGCAGTGGCCAGCAGGTCTCCTCTTCCTCACCCTCTGTGCCACAGACTCTATCACTGTTGCATGAGCTTGAAAGCAAGAAATGACAAATGTAAAGTTATCACTGCAGAGAGCTGAAAAAGAAGCCCATTAGAGGAAGGGGCTCTCTAGTCAGATGAACAGTATGAATATTTCCTTTCAAAACATAAAGGAGGAGAAGGAGACGGAGAAAATCCACAGTAGTGCTGAAAACACCCCTTGAAATTCTGCACTCACCTGAATAGGTGAGATACAAAACAAAAAATGCTTTTGATTTTGCAGGTTTTTGATTTTCAGGTTTTTGTGTGCTGGCATAGTATCTGTGGAGACCACCTTCCTGATATTTCAAATTGCCTTTTCTTTCACATAAAGATGAAATGGGAAAAGATTTCTCAGGTAACTTTGGCTATGGGCTGAATCACAAAATTATCAGTTATGCTGCTTCCCAAAGGCCAAACTGACCTGCCTATGAGTTACCAAGGGTGAGAGAATAATTCTAATCATAAAGTCCTGACCATGCAGGCCAGCTGTGAACCAGAAGGGTGAAAAAAAGTCAATAATCCAACAGCAAAAGGTACCTCAACTCTTCCAGTTAAACACTACTTTCCCCAAGCAAACCTTCCTTCCCAACATTCTCTCTTACAACAGGACACCTCATCCGGAGCTTACCAAGACATCTTCTCCATTCAGAACCCCCACTGACACTGGGATTATTGATAATTTGGCTACCTAACTCTCTGTCTTCACTTATTCCTGGACCTGCAAGAGCTGCATCCTGACACTGAAGAAGCTGGATAGTGTTGCTGAGAAGTCAGAATTATAGTCATCAGTTAGGGTTCCCTTCCCTTCCCTTCCCTTCCCTTCCCTTCCCTTCCCTTCCCTTCCCTTCCCTTCCCTTCCCTTCCCTTCCCTTCCCTTCCCTTCCCTTCCCTTCCCTTCCCTTCCCTTCCCTTCCCTTCCCTTCCCTTCCCTTCCCTTCCCTTCCCTTCCCTTCCCTTCCCTTCCCTTCCCTTCCCTTCCCTTCCCTTCCCTTCCCTTCCCTTCCCTTCCCTTCCCTTCCCTTCCCTTCCCTTCCCTTCCCTTCCCTTCCCTTCCCTTCCCTTCCCTTCCCTTCCCTTCCCTTCCCTTCCCTTCCCTGGCACCATTTCCCAAGTTTGATGGAGAAATCAGGCACTGGAATGCCACAAAAAACATCTACACAGGAAGGAAGAAAGAAGAGAAGCCAACTCCACTTGTAAGATGCATTTAAGATGCAGTTTCATCACAGCCTGTAAGTGCCTGAGCAGATAATTTCTGATCAGAGGCAGCTCTTTCATTCCATAGAAAAGCTGAAGTGATGGAAAGAAGAATAGAGGAAGAGCAGACACAAGGTGCAGATTTTTAACAGAGATCATTATGAACACTTTTCTGCAGTTGTAATGGATTTTCTATTAAAAAAAATACTTTTCTTAAATCAAGGCTGGCTATCCCTAAAAGCCATGAGCTTTACCTCAACCAAGATATTACAATTGCTCTGCAGACAGCCTGCCAAGCACACTGGAGATGTCAGACAGCAGGGTCTGCTCTGAACTACAGCTGCCAGCAACCTCTGATGGATATTCAGGAAATAGCCTTTTTCCTTTTTTCTTTTAAAGCAAGGAAATTCAGCAACATGCACACACTGCATGCAAAACTAATTCCTTATGTGGCCCTGTGGGATCTGCCTTCAAATCCAGATGGTCCAGTGGTCTGGCTTGACAAAGAGCAACACAATGCTGCTCCAAGTTAATATGTGCTCTGTTTTCCTCCAGACAATGCCTGTTCCAGTAATGCAGTTAAACATGATGACCTGTTCTGACCAGCACTCTGCATCATTCTGCTCTCCTGCAAGTGTTTCGAGCTCACCTCCATGCAACAGATGCTGAAGGCAGCAGCAGGAAGGAAGCTCTTCTGCCAAAGGCTGTAGTTTATCACTGCTCTGCCTCCACACACTCACTCATCCTTGAGCAGCATCTTGCTGATAATTTCTTAAGAGGTGATGTCTCTAAAGCCTGCTATTTATTTAAATTTACCTGTCTATTTATTTCTTTATACAACTTCGAGTTTTGTAGTTGATTGCCTTTCAGTTTTAAAGGCATTTAAAGGAGCCATAATTCCCTAACACTGACCTGCTTCAGATCCTCTTGTTTCCCCAACTCCCAGTCTAAAAATTCCCTGTCAGTCAGGCAGCCAATCTTGCAGAATGGGCTCACAGAGTTCTCTCCCTGCTTGGAAAACTTTTCACATGTAATGGCAACACCAAAACGCAACGGGCAAAAACTCCTCGGCGTAGTTGCCCAAACCTATTCTTCCTTCTTGAGCCCTGGACTTTGATCAGCTCCCTTGTGATGTTTTCTGGACATCCACAGCTAGCCTGCCCATAGATCCTCAGGAACTGGCATCCAGCACATTGCCACTGGAAGGGGATCACTGCAGACAGCCATGAACGGATCTGCACTAAAACAAGCTGGGGTGAGTGCTGTGACCCTTCATGACTGTCCCCTTTTTGCTTCTCAGCTGACACAGCAGTCCTCAAAGACGTGTGCCAAGTATCCACCCTCCACAAATGACAGCAAGCAGCTCATCCAGGGCTCCTGCCACTCACTGGCTGCATCCCAGAGACATCACTGCAGAGCTTCAGCCTGAAAACTCAGGGAAGTGATGATGAGAAAGGGAATTGCTACGATTAACAAGATTCATATGAGGGCACTTGGACACTGCTGAAGGTGACTTCCCAGCCATGGTCCCTTCATCTGAAGCTGGCTAATAGAGGTTAATATCCTTGGCAGGGCTCAGTATCTCTAGACTTGAGTGGTTTCTCCTTCAGAGGAGAAAAATAAGTCAAATGCAAAATGTATTCACTCTTGTAATCTGTTAACAATGTGCCTTTGAAGGAACTCAGAGATATAAAGTGTGTCCTATGCATAGGATGACTCAGAGTCATGACTGCATACCTGAGTGCCACACCTCTTAGGAGCTCATGCCTGGGCCTCTGACTGCACACCTGTGCTCTTCTGAGCATATGCCATGGGACAAAACCACTGAAAATTACATTCCCATATTCTCAACACAGACCTAGTTGAGCTTGGGCAAGGTATTTATGGTGCTCTTTTCCTCCATTACTCAGGTGCAGAACAGGAAAAATACTGTACACTTAATTCAGAGGAGAGCTGTGACAGCCAGTGAATCCATCAGTAAAAGCAGACTCAAAGACCCTTTACCCGTGTTGCAGAGCTCTCTGAAAAGGGAACTCTGCCATACACAGCCCCCAGGGGGTGTTCAAACATGCTTTCTGTATACCTACAGCCCGGGGAGGCTGAGGACATAGTCCAGTGCAGGACCACAGGCTGGAAGCATTGACAGAAAGCATGTGTGATCTCATGGGGCTTGATGGGCATAAATTTCCTCAGGATCTTCTCTTCATATTGCAGAAAATATGTGCCAGGAGGTGCTTGGGAATGTTGAGAAGAGTGGTTGGATGGAACAGGATCCAAAGTCCATCTCTACAATTTCATGCTCAGGTCCAAAGGATGAGTTTTCACCACAGAACCCAGCAACTTCTAGTGGAAAAAAAAGAAGAAATGTATAACTTGAAAGCACTACATTTCTTTTCTTCTTTCACTCCCAGAATATTCTATTTGTTTTGCTTTTAGAGATTGTTTCACACATTGCTGGGTGCTGGGAAAAAATAAGAGGGTTTTAAGAGACAACTCCAAGGTATTATTTTATGCGACGTATATGAATAATTTAATTTGCTGCCATGAATAGCTTGGGTTTCTCTAAATAAGCAATCTACCTAGTGGCTAGGAGGGAAATTAGCAGGAGTATAATATGACAAATGCTATTTTTGGATAAAAGATGGTACATGAACTCTAACAGGACGGTATTTCATCTTGTAACTCATTTCATATTTCACTGCTGTCACATTTGACAAGTTGTCTGTCTATTAGTTGTGGTGTAAAGAACTCATAAGATATTTATAAATTTTCCAGAGATACCTAAATAGGGAATCATTTGATTTCAGGGATGGGCATGGAAGAGAGAAGTTTAAATCCTGACAGAATGTGCAGCTTTCTGTTTTCATGCCTGGTAATTGCTGGAGCAAAGTGGGGCTCTATATGCTAATGAGAGCTCTTTCTGAGATGTTTTTCCCTCCAGACAATTATGATTTTCTTAGGCAGGCTGAACAACACGCCACCAGGACCTGAGAAGCACTGCTACTAAAAAATCTCTACAAATAAGTTGGTTAAACGTTGCTGCAGGGTACAACCCATGATCAGGATGTCTCCTGCTCCTCTGTTGCACATCCCATGTTCTTCAGAGTACCCAGGCTTGGGAAGTCAAGAAGGTGTCTCCTTCCCAGCAACTTGTCCAAGACATGCTGAGCTGGATAGACCCATCCTGAGGAGGCTGACAGCTAACAGAGAAGCAAACCCTGCAGCTTGACTTGGTCAATTCTTCAAACCAAAACCAAATTTATCAAAATGGCTGTGTTTTTTTCCAGAACCTTTCTCTACTGCAAAGTTTTCTGCCAGAGAACAGCAACCTTTCTGGTTATCAAGAGACCAACTCTTTTCAAAAAGACAATCACGTCAGAAGCAGTCTGACCTGCAGTAAAACAATAAAATTATTTTCTCCATGTGTTTCTCCTGAGAGTATTGCATTGAGGTGGGGGGGACAATACAAAGGGAGAAGATTGATTTTTTGGCAT